ACTTCGATTGCCGATGCAAATAGGTCGTGACCTGCCATGATGGAAGCCCCTCGGGAACTTTTCCCTGGTGAGCAGTCACTCTAAACGTGTCTTTCTCCACCAGTAGCCCTGAGGCAGATGCCTACGTGCCAGCCAAACAGCACGTGGAACCCCAACATCAACAAAGTCACACTGAAAGCAGTTAAAATAGATAGGGATGAGGAGAAAAATATTTTTGCGCTACATTTCAGATTTACACCTCTCATTATTTGCACAATGCAGAACACAGCATATTTTGTCATCCTCTACAAGGAAGAGAACTACTGGACCTGTGCTGACTCACGCAAGTTAAAAAGGCGGCTCTTCCTCCTTCCAGCCATCCCTTTGAGCTTGGATAAAGGGCCTCCCATCTGGAAGTGTTTTCCCAAAGTTATTCACTTCGTGCTCTTACACACACACACACACACGCACACACAGGCCCAGGGACTTTGAGAACTAAACTGCAGTCACCATGACACCATGAATAATACATCTTTCTATACGCTTGCATGTCATTCAGCATTGGATGAAGAAATCCATCCTCTTAACATTCTTTGTGAAGCACCCACAAATGATCTAAGCAGACTGGAGATGTTGAACAGGACAGGTCTGTTGTCTGATGTCCTCTCAGTCCAAGGCAAAGGCTGATACGCTGACCTTTAGGTGTGCATTGGTAATTGAGTGCAGCGAAGCTAAGAATGTGCAAAAACTTCCCAGATTCAGGATCAATCCAGCTGATTCATCTGTACCCTCACCTCCGCATCTAGCCCCAGTGAAACTGGTAGGGCACCACATCGGTACGACTCTTCTGCAAGATTCCTGCTATGCAGAGGCCACGCGGAGAAAAGATGCAGAGGACAGTCCCTGGCAGGAGCAGAAACCTGCAGGCAGACTCACGCCGATGTACAGCCCTACCAACGGCTGGGTGGAGACTCCCGTGCTGTGCTGGTCCAGTCTTATTTAGCCCTTTCCAGTTGCAACGGCGCCTGCTCACCAAGAACGCTAGCCTTGGGGTCCCAACTGCAGATGAACGGCACTTTCTTTGAAACATGCCACAGGAAGTCCTACTATAGCACACGGGTTGAGCAGGCCTTCGTGCTTCTCTCCAGCCTTTCTTCCTTCTAGACAAACACGAAAAGGATTGCACTGCAAATTTCCTCATCACTGAACAAAATAAATTCACCTATGAAGTGCACCGATAAAGATTTTCCATTTCACATCCAGCAGTTGAAAAACAACTTTCTCTACTTGCGGTGGTTTGGGATGGGGTGGAGTGGTGTTGGGTTTTTTGTTTGTTTGGTTTGGTGTTTTTTTTTTTTTGTGGGGTGGTGCTCGGGGGTTTTTTGAGTGGGCTTTTTTTCTTGTGGGTTTTTTTTTTTTTGCATGGTGGGTTGGTTTTTTTTTGAGGGTTTGTTGTTTGGGGTTTTTTATTTGACTGTTTTTTTAAGAGGAAGGTAGATTAATGACCATTTATTTCTGAAAACTAGTCTCTGGGTTGAATCCAACTTCCAGCTGGTGCCTATCAAGAGGATACAGATCTGCAAGGGTGCAGAGTCATTCCAGATAAGACAATGACTAATATCAAGCACTTTATTCTCCATGTAGACTCAAGTACCTGTAGTTAGTCCTAAAATTTTATTCATTCTATTCATGTCCTCTCCCTGCATACCGAGGTACATGCACATTGCAGAGCACTATTTTACTGGAATCTGTATGGTTTAGATTTTAATGGAGTGTTGGTTTTAGAGCTGAATATATGGAAGCTCTTGAGTTACAAGAAGAAGAATTATTATTGCAAACCTGACTACAGCTACAGTTGGAGTTCTTGGAAGATGAGGGTGCAAGTAACAAGAAGCTAACAAATCCATGCCAGTAAGTCAAGTTTAATTTGCTTTCCTTTTCCCCTCCCTTCTAAAGCTGGCTGAAGTACAAGTTCCACTGTAAATGCAGCGACTAGCAAACATGGATGCCACCACAAATACAGCACTGCCAAGAGGAAGTCCTCCATTGACTAATAACAGAGTTTCCAATAGCAACTGCAAGATATTCTGGGCACTGAACCGAAGAGATTTAGGGATATATTCTAAACAAGATGTGCTTTTTGCAAGTACAGAATATGAACTGTATAACGTTTAGAGAAAAGGTTTTTAAGAAGTCACCACTAACTTGTATTGCAAAGGCAGAATCGCAGGTTTTACTGGCTCTTCAATGGCCTTTACCTCAACAGGTACCACCATTAAGCTCTCCCTATCAAGCCTATTATCAAAGTGTGGCTGGAACAAATAAATATTCAAGTCATCGCTACAGTTTGGCATTGCAAAGGTCTCAAGTTTTTGCGGTACACTGAAGCAGTATCAAAACTTAGCCTTTTATTTTGAAAAGAGGAGACTGCATGCTTGATAGTAATATTTTTGTGCAGCATTTGTCACTGTCAAGAGCACAATACAGAACATAATCAAGTTCATTTGTTAACTAAGTAATCCATTCTTTGAAAACCTATTCTTTAATGCAAGACAGTGCCAGTGACATATTACAAAATCATTTACTAGAACTGGAAAATGACTTTTATAAAGATCACATTATATCACAGCTTCTCTTTTGTACCCTTGCTGAGACTGCAGGGCATTTCATAGTTACTTCTCCTGCAGACTCAGGATTTTTTATATTTTTTTTTTCATTTGCATATGGAAAACACCCTGAATTTCCATTGCTGCAATTCAATAGTTCTATCAAAGACTGCCCATGCATTTTCATAGAAGTAATTTATTTCATCTTTGAAGTAAATACAAATTTGTCAGAAATATGTGCTAGGCCAATTTGTAAGCTCTACTATGTGGGAATTATGCCAAAAATACAAGCACAAATCAGAGTCCTAAATAGTAATGTCAAAAAAATGCTAGTAGTGAACACTAGAAGGTTCTAAGCAGCCAAAGGAGATTAAATTTGTCATCAAATCACTGAAAACAAGAAACAGAACAAACTTCCTTAGTGAGAAACTGATATATTATATGCCCAAGTCTGGCATTGTTATGTTAAAAGTTGCCTCTGAATAAAACATTATATAGGACGCTTTCCAGCAGCATAGATGCCTGCTGCATGAGAATGCTGCACTGTTGTTCTTTAATACCTTGGAGGTAAAATGTTATGCATCACTAAGTAATTTTAGTCTACAGTACAGCTTCCCACCATTTTTAATTTTAGAATGCAACCAAGTTATTTGAGATGTAGGTAAAACAGAAAAAGACTAATGAGGGTTTAAAACTCTAGATGGCACACTCATACAATAAAAGACTATAAAGCTCAAAAGAAATACACAGGTTCACCTACGAGATTTTCTTGGTTTTCCACCTGAAACGTATCTGCAAATACCGTTCTGAGGCCAGTTTGTAAATGACTATTATAAAAGGATCTGCACCATTTCCCCAAGTTAAAATTGGGTGATTTAATCTAATACTATGCAGTATTTGCAGTTTTATATTTCAACAGTACTGAATTAAGTTAATTTAAGATTACAGATACAATTAATTCTCATGGCATGGCACCCATCCCGTCTCACTATCATACTCCAACCCACTTTGTGGATAACACGAACGAGATCTTACATGTTTCTTAATGGCACAATCTCAGGCAACAACCAGTTCAGTTAAACACTTTTTCAAGCTTTGAATTCACAGGGGAAGTGTGAGGGTGGTGAGGCACTGGAACAGGTTGCCCAGAGAAGTTGTGGATGCCCCATCCCTGAAGTTGTTCAAGATCAGGTTGGATGAGGCTTTGAGCAACCTGATGTAGTGGAAGGTGTCCCTGCCCATGGCAGGGGAGTTGGAACTAGATGATCTTTAAGGTCCCTTCCAACTCAAACCATTCTATGAAGTTTTTGATGCTGCTTTGCTTTTAAGCAGGAGCTCAGCTTTCGTTTATTACATCAAGTTCAGGGTCATAAAAAGGACATTTTAATATACAGCCTTTAACCTACCCATCTATTTAGAGTAGGTAGTATAAAATCTGAGACTCAAATCAGGTTGGATGCTGGTCACACAGTCATCAAAAAGACACTGCAGCATTTTTATTAGAATTTAATAAAATTAAATTTTTTTATTATTATTTTATTATTATTTTTTATTTTTTTTTAAATTAATTTTTTTATTAGAGTACGTTGCTGCTGTAATGCAATCTTACTGAAGCTGTAATAAATAATAGCTGTGCACCTGAATTGCCACAGTACACATCTGAACAACATTCAGAATGATCAGAACTGCAAAATTCATGAAATAGGGTGTTTGACTAATTATCTGAGTAAATAAACAAGTGTCTAAAATACAAACAAGATACAGATTTACAGTGTACTAGATGCTTCATGCTAACAGCATAAACCCACTTCTATCCTCCAGTAAATACAAAGCAATTGAACAAGTTATCTCATCCTTACGGTGCCGTGACACTTGGTTACTGCAGAGAAGCTAATATACCATAGCTCACACCACAGTGAAGGGGGACCCATACTGTAGGTACAAAATTAGCATGGACCAGCATGCAGCCCTGCGTTCAGACGGTTTTGAACTTCATGATGTGGAACATATGTACAACAAAGGACACACAGAAGGAATAGAAGAAGTGCACATACATACACTGATTGGAGAACTACATGGACATGGAAGCATTTGCTCACAAAGCCACAGCAAAGAATGTCTTTGGCCTTAAGCCAGTACAAAGGCCCCTCTCAAAAAAAGTACACGAATAACTTTTTTCCATTTCGACAGTACTGGCCATCAACTGATTAATAAAACCATTAGCATCAAGTTTTTTCTGTAATAAAGTGTATTCATAATCACTCCTTGCTGTGTGGCATATATTTACCAGAAAGTGTACATCTGTAGCATGCTTTTACTCTTAAATACGCAAACGAGAAAAATTTCTAACATACGTTACTCGTCTACATACATAAATTCACAATTTCCATTTAAAAGTTGAAAAAAATCACTGTCTTTTTTTTAATCATTTAACAAGTTTATTTCTACAAATTATGGCTTAAAAGCAGGTACTGTAAATACAAAAATCTCAAGAGACTGATGTGCAGCACATCATTTCTTTATATTGTCTTTGTGGTACATTATTCATTTCAGTGGGTATTCATCTCATAGCAGCAATAAATAGACATTTTAATTTTCATAAAGCATTATTTTAGATAGCAAATTAATCAGTACAAAATCAACTTTTAACAGCACTAGAGTAACATAACCCATAGGTCATTATAGGTTGGTCATGGAATTGGAAAATTTCATATTTGATCTCTATGCCAACCTAAGATTGAGTGATTTGCAGAGTCTCCAACATGTCCTCCACTGCCTTCAAAGAGTATTTAGTTTCTTTCTTACTGCGACCTGCAAACTAAACAAAAACAAAAAAGGATTATTATTTGTTGTAGATCAGAAATTCTGTGCACAGGGCCTGTATAAATAACAGTCCTAAACAGCAAGTACCAAAAATTTACTCTAATTACTACAAACCTAAAAGCACAGCCTCTTTATTGTTTCACTGAAACTCAACATTTTTACTAGAATACAAGCTACATCTAATAGCTTCCTCTAATAAGTAATGAAAAATACAATGGAACTCCTTAATTTTACTCATTTGCTCTGAATCTGAATACTCAGCACTTATAAATACCCTACTTTCAAATTTAGCCTTTATCTGAATAGGGATCTTCCTGTTGTTTTGTTTGCTCCACAAAGTTTAACATCATTTTTTATTCCAGACTTGAATTTTTTGTGTGATCCAAATTAGATTATGTTCATAATTTAAATGGTGGCAAGATTTGGACCCGTTATTGAAGCTAATCTACTTTCTATTTTTGTTACAGCGAGACAGAGAAATTTCTACTTACCAAAATCTACTATAAAATAATCCAGTCATATATAATTATGTTTTATGGTTCAAAGTAACTGCGAGTAATGCCCTTGTATTTGATTGCAACCTCCCATTACAACAGCAATTTCAGAAAGCATTTGAAACGTCTGTCTTGATGACAGAGAAAGACACAGCTTAATAAATACTACTTATGGCTTTACATTCTCTAAGACACATGCAGTCAAGTTTGGGAAAGGAAGGGGTAGAAGGGTAGGAAATGTTTATCACCCTACATTGAACTCAAAAGAGTTTTTCTGGCTGTACTTATGATTCCCATCACTCATCAGCCACATCTAACACAGTAGATTTATTCACTAGGTTGGTCTTTAGTCAAATGAAACTCTTAACCATTTTTAATACACCTGCATTAAAAAGTTTTGCATTTCGGGTTGTGAGGGGTGGTAAAGAAATTACAGAAGTAGTAACTATACCTTGCTGCTAGTAAAATAGCCTATTCTTTACCTAAATGTTAACATCTAAACACTCAATAAATTTTCAATTTCATGTTTTTTATTTCAAATACCACTGATGTCTTGCACAGTTAGTCCTTGATTTATAATGTGTCCCTTCTCTCTTGTAATTAACTTAATTTAGCAAACCCTTCATGATCTGTTAAGAAAGATTAAGTCATCAAACCCAGGTAATATCACACCAGCAACAAGCTGCAGAACCTGTTAACCTGCTTTTGACCCCCAGGCTACAATCTAACATTGAGATTCCCAATCAGTACCGAGTTCTTATAGTTTTAGCACAGTAAATGAAAAGCTATTTCACATTAAATAGTTAGGAAAATGAAATGTTGTTTATTGTGACAACACTTTATAGTTGAGACATACTGAAAACACCACATTTTCCTATTTCATATTTCCAGATGATGAACTGATGTGTCATGTTTTGACTCTAGCAGTATGTATAAACTCATTATTCAGGTTGTGCAGTTTCCAGTGACCTGCCATCGTCAACTTCACAGGAAAATCAGATTTCTTTACACTCTCCTAGGTGAAAGAACTAACTTTTGCTTAGATCTGACTTAATATAATATCGTTTATTTGATCACACTAAGCAAGAACAGTCTCAAGCAGATAAAAACAAGCAAATGAAAAAACAGAACTCAAAATCCTCGACTAAAAAATTGTTTCAAGTTCAAAGCATTCAGAGATTTCATTAAAAAGTGCAGAAGCCTGAATATACTGTGGTCAAAAAGCACACTTGGCAAGACACACAGAAAGTATGCAGAGTAAAGCTTCAAAATGAGATGAATTTTACTTATTTTACTTCTCTTCAGGGACACTGAAAGTAAAACTGACATAAGA